ATGATTCTATGACAGCAGCCAAGTGCAGATCTGCTTTCACAAGTCACACAGAAATAGCTCCTTCTGTGTGGCTCTGTTTTTTTTTTCAGAGCTCATTCCCATGCCTCTTATCAATCCAACCTAAAGAATACTAGAGACACGCACACCGAGTTTTGACAAACCCCTCACCTTTCACACTGATCTCGAGCATGCACGTCAGCTCCTTTTTTAAGGAGAAACTCTACCATCTCTTCATGATGTTCGGAGACAGCAAGAATAAGTGGGGTATATCCCTCCTGAAAGGACAGATAAACAAGTCAAGTTAAAAATCGAAGTCAAAAAAACCTTCAAGAGAAACATTAATGCAACTTTTTGAAAGAATTTCCTCCACACATTTAAAAATGTACCTTATTCTGGACATCAATATTGGCATTATGCTCAAGTAACAGCCCCGCTACAGACGTATTAGGAGATATGACAGCAAGGTGAAGGGCAGTGTTGCCGTCAGCATCTGCCAGATTCGGGTCAGCACCATGCTCTAGCAGAATAGCAACACATTTTTCTTGCTGGCACTGTACTGCCTGGGAACAACACACAAAAAAAAGGAAAAACTTCCAGCATTTACATTTCACTCTGTTACAATTCCCCCAGCTTCCCAATGCTGGAAGATAAGAGCACCTTCAAAGATTAGCTAACATATGCCTATTCCACGCTAATTACAATATGCATGTTTCTACACAAGCCTATGTAAAGAATCCTGCAAGATACATATAATTTAGTGCATAATCTATAAGCCCTACTTGCAAGAACATAACATATTCCACATACCTTCATCAGTGGCGATCTGTTATCATTGTCAAAAAGATTTAGCTTACACTTGTTTTCTACTAGATATGTAACGACTTCCACATGGCCGTTTGCACAAGCGAGATGCAGAGGTGTCCTAAAAATTAAATACATTAAATTAGCACAGACAGACAACTAAAGAAATCGTTTCAGGCTGAGATAAATGGATATGGCCACAAGTTTCACTTTGCAAAAAGCAAGCTTAACAAAAGACTTCTCATTCCATTACCAGTAACAGCAGTTGAACACCAAATGCCTGAGGCTGGCTAGCAAAAGCCCTCCACAGTGTCTGCTTAGTAAGGTGACATTTCCTTCACTGTAGAACTGAATCTGCACAGATTCCTGTGCCCAGGCATTGGTCACTGCCTCCAGCAGGATTACACACATGCCACAGCAACAGAGACCAAAGCTTGGGAATCTGAGAACTATGGCAAGTAAACCTCTAAGTTCTTCTATGATCATTCACGTGCCAGAAGTGTATCAGAGATGTAGGAGATGAGTTGTATAGCAAGAATATTAGTGTTTCTCTGCACTTTGAGAATTTCTGCTTTTTCTCTAGCTTGTTTACTATGGCAGCAACCACAAGAACACACTTGCACCAAAGCGCCTCTGATAAGATGTAGCAAACCAAACAGCAGAACACTGTAATCCTGACTACAGGAAAGTAATATTTGACCTTCCTGACATGTCTAAGTACCATAGTCATAAAAAGCCTACTATAAAGGAAGTCCTCTCCAAGGAGGGAATACTGTGTTTCCACAATACATGACCAGCATAAGAAAATGAAATTGTTTTCTTCAAGTTAAAGCCTTGCCAGAAAGAAAAGGGCTCCTTCAAACCACAGAACATCTTAGGTCTGATGTCAATTAACCAGCCTACTTGTACCCAAAGACACAATCACCCAGAAAGTCCTTGCATGTGTTTCCCCCTAAGTCACAGGCACAAAGCAGCACAAGATTTGCTCTGTGCAGAAGGCAAAGTGCCTGCTGCTCTGCAGGACACCTGTCCCAACAGAGCAGGAGACAAGCTAGAAAACAGCCAGGAAGGTGATGCAATAAAAATCCTGCAGTTCCTCAAGAACTGAGGGGGATGCCAGCACTAGTTTTGAACTGCATCACTGTGGGTAGGTCCTTCTCTGTATTTAGGAAAGCTCAACTAACCTTGCAATCGTTTTGGTACCTTGCTGAGATATAGGAGCACAACGGCTCACTGGCTAGGTAGGAATGGAAAGGGAAAGGTACACAAATGCAGTGGCATGTGATGCAGAAACACAGCAATTTGTAATACAGATACTTCTTGTTACAGGGCAGCTGATGAGCCTCTTCCATGGCACGAGGATGAGGACAAGAAAAAACACATAAAACTTCAAAGAACTTGTTAATGTCTTGCTACAGATAGGGAGCAAGAGACTAAAGCATCAACAGAAGAGTCCCTCAAGAGCGACTACCACCACTTTTTGAGAAATTCCCATGTAAGTATGCAGGATCTTTCACCTCTGAAGAAATTACTGACTGAGCTTATCTGAAAGCTAACCAGAACTGATTATGAAGGAGTCCACGATCACCTAAAAGCTGCTACTACCAAGCACTAGGAAACATGACAAACCTGAAGAAGTCACTATCAACTCTGCAAATAGAAAAGCCTTCAGAAAACCTGCGGACTCATTGCTGCCCTCCTCAACCAAGCCTCTCAGTCTGCCAATAGGAAAGGAGATGGCTCTGCTTGGAGCAAGGCCTGCTGAGCTCCACAGAAGATCCACATCAGGGAACAGGCTGGCAGAGAACATCAGAGTATTCACAGTTGCCTGCCCCGCAAGAGGCCTCCAGTAACACCAAAGCTGTTCTGCCACCCAGCCCTGGGGACCCTGCCCAGATTCTGCTTCTCCTGCTGCTGCAATACTACGCTGATCACCCATGGGGTGGAAGAGAACTGCTGATGCCTGAGCCGCTGCAAAACAACCCCACTGGGAGACCACAGGGAAACAGCACTTGAGCCGATGACCCAGCAGCTACAAGCTAAGCAATGAAAAGCTTTAGAGTTCACTCTGACAGGCAGCTGACAGGGTAAATCTCTCGTAGCGATTAGCTTTGACCCAGGATTCACAACTAGCGGGCATCGTGCCTACAGTGCTTCCAACTCTGTGCTGAGTTTTGCCCATCTCTTTCAGCAAGGCTGAAGCTTTTGCTAGACCACCTCTGAAAAGCTGCCTGTTCCTAACTGATGCTGTTCCAAGTGCATTTTTTGGGAGGTCCTGTGGGCTACAGGACCCACTATATGGAAGGTGTGATACTTGCCACGTCCCTGGTGCAGGATTTTGCTTCTGGAAATCCTGAGGAGCAGAACTGATATTGATATGAATAATGCACACATTTTAGCCATTACTACCCACATTTCCTATTCTTTACATCTATTTCCAATTATGTCAACTCTTCCAGTCCCTGCAGGACACAATGAAGTTCTGAAACACAATTGCATCTGGTGGTCACTCACGACATATTACACCCACAAACACTAAGAGGGCATAGGTGGGCCTGCAACCCTCATGGCTGGTATAGTGCACAGGGGCTGCAGCAAGCAGGCAGACTCTGTCCACTGAATTCCTCTAAGGTAAGCTTCTCAGCAGCTTTTCAGCACTGGGCTTTATCATGCCAAAACCATTGTAGTGCTCTATTGTACGTACACTGCCTTGTCTCATTTTTTTTTAGCGTGTTACTTTATTTGCACAGTTATAACACTGATAATAGCATAACACACAGAAGAAAACCTTTCCAGAGGAAACAAAGCTTTCTGGTCAAGATGAACTTAAAATGCAAAAACTAGCCAATTTTCCTACCAGGGTCTGCTTACACCTGATGAGTGACTGAATCAGCCACAGTGAAAGAGCAGGTAGTAAGAAGAAAAAAAAAAAGAGAAACATTCAGAAGCTATTTCCATAAATGTCATTGGGCACCGTGACTCAGGCAGCTGGAGTATGCACAAAACGCATTCAATCCACCCTAAACTGCATCCCCCATCTCCAGCTGCATAAACACTGACTGGCAACACTCAGGCACACAACCCACATTACTGAAGTGCATGCTTACCATGCTCTTCCTTGCTTCTCCTACTAATCTAGGTGGTTTTAGGTGTTTTCAGGGCAATAAGCTAGCTGGCTAGCAAAAGTCCAGTCTTCAGGATAGATAACCTACGAAGCTGAGCTCTGATAAAACCAGCACGTCTTCAGAATACCATGAAGGTTTTGACTCTGAGTCTTTTCAGAAAAGGCATTAAAGTGTTGACACATACAAGACCCAAAAACTTCAGCTGATTTCCTTATGCTTACTATGATCACTAGGAGCTATGCTGCAGCCCAGGGCTTCTCCTTGACATATAATTGCCAAGTACTTGCTGTGCTTGACTCAAAACTGCACACAATAACACCTGCCAGAAGAAGCAGCTTCTCCTGCAAGTCGCTGCCCAGATCTTCCAATCCAAGGTACTGATTAGCTGTACCAAAGCCTCAGAGCAAACTAAGTAACTGCCACCTAAAATCAGACTATTGCTTTCACTGCCACATCACAGTCACGAAAGGCACACCAGTCAAGTGTGCATGCAGCATCAATATACAACACGTTTATTCTGTGCTATAACTCTTTCCTAACTGCAGTGCCTACCTCTCCTTGAATTACTCCCTGTTAAGGCAGTGCGGCTTTATTGGGTCAACTACTAAACCTGCACGCTGAGCCCTCAAAGATGCATAGAGATGCATGCAATTTTGCATTTTGACTTCAAAGCCTGGCTGGAGAATGGCCGCGAGGCTCCTTCTGCAAGCCACCTTTGCCAGGCTGCTGCCAGCTCCCCTCCATTCCTGCGACCCCAGCAAGGAAAGACGACTCCGGGAGCGAGGGCACTAAGGAGGCCGGGGCAAAAAGGGGAAGGCGACAGTTGGATGCTAGGCCGAATTCAAGGGTTTCTGGCAGCACAAGCCTGACTCCCACACCCGGCCGAGGGCTGAGCTCGACTGCGGGGCCAGCCCTCCCGCTCCCCGCAGCCACGCGGCCGT